ATATTGACATTTTAGATTGTTTTATAGCAACGTATGTACAAAATGTACAGGTGGTAGAAATAATAATATTGCAAGCCCATTTGTTTTCAAAAAGAAAACTATTTAAATCTTTGTAACAAAGTATACCAATTAAATACACCACCATTATTTCCGTTATTTCACCACCGTTATTTCCAAAAATTAGTTAATTACATACTGTTTTAATTAATAATTTATTGTAAATAAATGTGAATTTGACTCAGAAATCAATATAATAATAAGTTATGAAAATGAACGTCTTTTTTGTTATAAATAAGCATTCGTCAAACAATGAAATAAAATTTATAAGGTGATACTTTTTACCACACTGTCTAATACACATACAAAATTCAGGAGGTCTGGGAATAGGTTGTAATCTATTTTTATACACCTAAGTGATAAGAGTGGTTTGCCCCACCTTTTTTTAATTTTTTGGACAACTTTTTTATTTTTATTTTTTTATGATGTGGCATTAAAAATACATATAACCCTAAATTTTCACCCTTTTACCATCAACCCATATTTTTAATAACGATATTAGTAATTCAGTAATTTTCAACCCCGTGAATAAAAATGACTGTTGTCTCATAAGAAATATTTATATATGGCTAAAAAACGTTTACCGGCTCAGCTAGTAATAATATAAATTCCTGGAAACGAAAACTACTAGAGTAAAGAAAAATATAAATTTCCCCAAATTTAAAGCTTCCTCAAGTCACGCTGATTGGAAAATTCATGTGACGAAAAATGAGGGTGGAAAAAATCCAGTCCCAGTCGCAGGTTTTCCCGAGCCCCGGAAAACTTTTCTACTTATCGGAAAAGCGCCGTTTCCGGTGCCTCTATGATAAGAAAATAAGTACGGCAGAATTTCCCAATTTTCTCGCTCCCCCTTTCACTTCAGCCGCCCTCTTTTAGGGTTTTCCTGTGGGAACACAGGGTCGATTTGGAGTATAGTCCGTTAAAGAGACCGTCTCTCTTTTAGTGTTGCTCAAATTCTAAGGGACATAGAAGGAGGGAAATTCTGGATAATGATGTAAATATTATACTGTAATCGTTGCGTGAAAAACACCTAAATAGAGTTCACAAAATAAGGGAACATTATTTTAGGGTCTTAGGATTATATTGTTGACATTTACATCCCAGAGACTCATTAACAGTGCACCTAATGCATCTAGTGCTCAGTAACTGTTTTACAGGGGCGTGCGGTGAAATTTTAAGTTGTGTTAATAAGTGTTGAAAAATTGCGGTCTACTGATGAACTTGTGGCAGGTATTGTCAATACCTTATTACACAATTTTGACACTTCGGTGTAGGCATCTTCTAGCTCCTTGTCTTTTAAAAATTGCATTAGTTCTCTAGAGTTATTTTTTGCAATAATGTCATCAGTTCAACCAAACCACTTTTAGTTCAGATCGCAGTAACACTCGGTCGAAGAACTGGCCATAATGAAGAAGAAGAGATTTAAACGCATCTTCTGGAAAAGTTTTTCCTTTATATGCATCAAATTTGCAGAGCTCGAGAAATTTAAAATAATTTAAACCGTTAAATCTACAGTTTATTTGTTGCTGAATATTTGTACGAGGAAACAAACGACATCGATAAGTCTTTTTAATTATTTGCCTATTTTTATCGACTAGTTCATTGTGTTGGCGATGACTAATTTCCAAATGCTTAAGGGCCTTTTCAATTCTAGTTTTGATAAAGACTTTCTTTTATGACAGCCGGCAAATGTGCTTTGGAAATAATGCGTCTTTTTACAGTTTTATGGAAATTGTTTGAAGAATGAAAAATGGACGGTCACCAGGTCCTGGTAATATTGTAGCCGAATTGTTAAAGTGTGGAACCCAAAGACTGCGCTGGCGTCTGGCAGAGCTATTTAACCAGTGCTGCCTGCAAAGTAAACTACCCCGAGAATGGCGAGTGGCTCACATAGTGTCCATCTTTAAAAAGGGAAATCGTAACGACCCCACTTGTTATAGAGGCCTAAGCATTAACAGTTCGGTCAGCAGACTTTTTGGAAAGGTGCTACAGGGTAGGCTCAGGGACAGTATTGGTGACAAATCTCGGAAGACCAAAGCGGATTCACACCGGGGAAATCTTTCACAGATAACCTTTTTGTCCTGCAGCAGGTGATGGAAAAAAAGATAGCAGTAGATCAAGAAGTCCATCTAGCATTTATTGATTTGGAGAAAGCGTACGACTCTATTCCCCGCAGCAAGATATGGGAAGTATTGAATATCTTAGAAGTAGATAGACCTTTGCTTAAGATAATAAAATAGCTATATAAAGAAAATGAATCGTACGTTAAGATAGGACACAGGCTATCTAATCCAATTAACACCACAAAAGGGTTGCGACAAGGATGCAGCTTATCTCCTCTGATCTTCAACGCTTACGTCGAATTAGCCCTTAGGGAATGGAAGACGAAATATCAAGGTATGGGAATACCCATTGGGGACAACACACTATTTACCCTGAGCTTTGCAGACGATCAGGTCGTGATTGCGCAGGACTCATACGATCTAGAGTTCATGACTAAGAGGCTTTATCAAGTATACAACAAATGGGGACTTCAGGTTAGTCTAAAGAAGACCGAATACTTAGCTGTCAATTCCAACACTTGTTTTGAAGTCTTCATTAATGATAACGTCCAGATTCAACAAGTAGACAAATTTAAATACCTGGGTGCTACTATCAACAACGAGGGTTTGGGCAAAGAAGAAATACAAACCCGAATTCAGAAGAGCAAACAAGTTATTGGATGTCTTAACAGCCTCTGGTGGGACCGAAACTTATCTGCAACAACTAAAAAGAGACTTGGAAGAACATTGGTGGAGTCAGTTCTTTGCTATGGTTCAGAGCTGTGGACTCTGAGTGCAGACGCGAAGCGCAAAATTCAAGTTGTTGAAATGGACTACCTTAGAAGAAGTGCAGGTATATCTAGGATGGAAAAAAAGACAAACATCGAGGTCAGGCGTATCATGAATGCATCGGAGGAGACTGCATCGGAGTACTGGATCGAATCGAAAAATCCAGCTTAAAATGGTTTGGACATGTTCTGCGCCGGAGAACAGGTGGCCAAAAAGAGTTTTTCAATGGGCTCCCCAGGGCAGAAGAAAGAGAGGTAGACCTAGAAAATCCTGGAACGGAACGGTTACGGAAGCAATGGAAGCTCGTAACCTAGAAGCTGATGACGCTCTAAATCGAGACGTGTGGCGTAGGGTAACGGGAAGGCAGCAATAGGCTGTAGTTGGAAATGAGTATTAAATAGTTTAACCAAATCCCGTTTATATATATATGCAAATTGTTTAAATTGGAAAAAACTAGTTTTATTCCAGAGACCCTTTTCATTTCTTTATTTCATTTAAATAGTTTGTTATAGTGGTGAGCAAGACTATTTACATTTTTAGATAACAGTTGAAACTGTTATAGTTATTTATAAAAAGCAGCTTAAAATAACAGCTTAAAAATAACAGGTTTCTTTATTTCCTCTTATAAAGACAATCGGGGAGATACTGTATAAACAAGGGTAATATCTAATTATAGTATTTCAAGAGATTAATTAGTGCGATTCCAAATAATTTGAAGTCTGTATAATTTAGCCTTTACTTGTTTAAGTAGTTGAAAAGTAATATAGTGTATTTTTAGTATCTATCGTTTGTTATATCATTATCTCTGAACAGTAAATTTGTTTTTTGATTATTTAAAATTAATATTATACTCAATGTGTTTGCTACCTTTTCTTAACATAGTGTTACATCTTTTCTTAACATAGTATTTTTATTCTTATCACCATCTAGAACAGTAATAGTCTTAGATAGTGGTGAAAAATACAAAACTATTACTTTGCAAGTACTGTATTGTAATAATTTAAGACTGGGAAGTTTAGAAAAACTAAAAACTTTTTTTTAAAGCATTTCTTTAGAAAAATATACATATTAGTAAATAATTAATTAAGTTGTTATTTCCATTTTTTATTAGGTACTTCTCATTATTATAATAAATAAATTAATCACTAAATTTCTAAGCACCATTCACAATTTCTTAAAGTAAGTCTTAGTAAAATTGTCTTCGAAGAGTTTTAAAATGTAGCAAAAACAATGAAAGTATATATGTAGAGATATTAATAAAAATAACTGACTAACTGAAACTTAATAACTAAGTACTGAAACATACAGCGCCATAATATCTCGACCTCCGCCCGTTATGCTCGTAACAGGTTGAAAAACAATGTATCTAAAACAACTGATTTATTCTCCAACCTGTTTCGAACCTCCATCGACAATCAACCGATGCAGCAGCGTTACTTTCCCACTCCGATTATCTCGACCGCCGCCTGTTATGCTCGTAACAGGTTATAAAACAACGTATCTAAAATGACTGCTTATTTTCTATACGTTATTCTCCAACTTGTTGCAAGCCCAACACGACCATCGACCGATGCAGCTACGTTCGCCGTAGCGCATTCCCCACTCCGTTGTCCGTTGTATCTCGCCGCCTGTATCCATGGTTGTCGAAATAACAGTCGTAATAATATCCATCCATACTAGTTGTTTTTTGGAATTGCTTCAAGCCGCATAGAATTTCGTGGCGGTGCAGAGCGCCGACTTCGTTTCACGAGCGGTCGATCTCTACGTGTCGTTATTTTATATCTGTTATATTTTAGAAGTAGTAACGGTTGCGTTATGTTATTTCTAAATAATTGTTATAAAATAACAGATAGTTAAATAACAACCCATCACTAGTTTGTTATACAGTTGGCCAAAATATTTCCTCTTCAACATTGTTGAAAGAACTTGGGTTGTTATACTATACTACATTTATTTAATTTTTTATTCAATTCAACAGCTCTTTAAAGTAACATTAAATAACATGTTGAAAGCATAAACTTATTTCTTGTTTCCAATATAATACACTATACTCGAATAATCTTGGTAATAATAATAAAAAATTGTTTCAATATATTTAATTTATTTTTCCAGAGGCTGTGAAGAAAATGGTTGACGATGGATGGCAGAAAAACGCCTTTAATCAGTACGTCAGTGATATGATCAGTGTCCATAGGACTTTGCCAGATCCTCGAGATGAATGGTAAGTAATAATACATACAAAATATCAGATATACAAATGTTTTAAGACGATATTAATAAACGGGGTGGGCCGAACTGAATTCTGGAAACTTCAAAAGCATATTCTGCACATAAAAATAAGTAAAAAAGTTCGTATAAACCTATGTACTAAAAGGCTTCGTTTCGGAGATACAGGGTGTAGAAGTTCCATTTGTATTTCGATTTTTCCCTAATAATTTCTGAACTAAATTCGGTATTAGGATGAAAATTAGTATCTCAGATTTGTTGACATAAGAAATTTGATTTCGACCTGTTGGAGGCGACACTTTTTTTAACTGTTTAGAAGTGTAATAACTTTTCGTCCGTTCCTGTATTACACTAGTGAGTAAAAAATATACATTTCTACCTTTACCTACGTAAAAAAATGTCTCTTGGTAAAAATCGCTGCTAGCAACCGTTCTCGAGATATTATTTGGATTCTTAATAATCAGTCATCAATGACGAAAATTAAAGATCTTCACTAGAAAGATATTTGACTGAACTAATAATCATTTTCGAAACATTTTAGTATCATAGGTTCAACTGAAGCTGTTTTAAAACCTATAGGTTTTAAAACTTACAGGTTATAAGTGTAAGTTTTCTAGAAATTTAGCGATTTTTGAAAAATCGTATTTAGGTTTTAACCTAAAGGTAAACTAACTTTAAGTTACAACCTAAATAGCTTGTTTTAACAAGCTGTTTTGAGAGAAAAAAATTTAAAATAAATCCTATCAAAATGCGCATAATATCTAAAGCTAGCAAATAAAAATTACTTCTGGGTTTTTTTATTATCATTTATAAAACTAAAATTGCTTTTTTTTAACAATTTCAGTTATTTACTTACTTATTACAAGCAACTAAAAATTATTTAAATTTTGTAAATGACAAACATTTTAGGAAATTTATGATAACATGGTTCTGGTAGGACCTTTAGCACCAAATCGTTTTAACCAAAGACATTATAAATATAGACCGAACATCTCATTCATAAATACTCGTTGGTAGTGTATCAAACATTCCAATGTGTCAGACAAGGACAGAAGAGACAGAGAAGTCTAAAATTTCCGACCCCAGCAACTAGGCTCATGGCCAGTGGCGTATTGTTTTTTGGAACGAATTTAATTAGTAAAGTAAAAGTAAAGTAATTAGTAAAATTTTTACTCCATATTAATATACTACATTAACACTTTTTCGTCAGATGAGTTTTGTTATAAGGTCTAATATAATAATATAATTAATATCCCACATATACTTATGTTGAAACGTTAGTAGGTAGTTTTCGAAAATTCTATAAGAATAAATCTAAATATATAAATCTAATATTCTAAATAAATATAATTCTATATAAACTTTCAGTTACTTTTGAATATTTACAGGGTGACTCAGGCTTCCGAAACAGTTCTATATTAGGTTTGTGGTTGGTGACTTTTCTTTAAATTTTTTTTTCAGATAATGGAGGCAATAGTAAAGCACATTTTAGACATTTTTGTAAACATAGGTGGCCGGAACATATTTTCAAACTAAAGTTGTAGATTTGCCATTAAATTTCCATTCCAGAAATACCTAGGGTTGCCACCTGTTCTTTTTTGAAAAGGACAGTCCTTTTTTGGAATAACTTGTATTTTTGACTTTTTTTGACTTAAAAAGTCATTTTTATTTACGCATTTTCCCTGAGAAAATTACCAATAGCAAACAGAAATATTATTTTCGTCCAAATTTAATTAGAGATGTTATAAAACTTATAAATAAATTTTTCTTGTTTAGAATAGGCAACATTATTTAAAACTTCCCGTTTAATCCGAAATGATAGTTTAGGTTTTAGTTTTACCATTTTTGATCTTAAAAAGAACTTCAAAATTAGTAATTAGTAACGATTTAGTTAGTTCGCAATCGATAGCTTCCTGTGAAGTACTGTGTAATAGTTGTTTAATCTTGTATTATTAGTAACTTCCTATACCTAAAATCAATATTTAATGAGAAAATTGAAAATTGATTCATTAAAAGTATCAAACCTGTGTGCTACAGTATGGGATTTCTGTCGCATAATAATGAATTACGTTAGCTTCATCTACGTTACCGTAGATGGAGCTCAAGGCTTGGTAGGATTTGTATAAATAAACAAAATACAAGAAGCAAAAAAATATTAAGGCCTAACCCCTACATATATGCTTATTCTCTGCATTAAGTTCATCAGACTGAAGGGAACAGCCATTCAACGACCGGTTTCGGAGATTTATCTCCATCGTCAGGCCGACTTTGCTGTAACCCTCAATTCGACAAACGAAAAGCATAAAAGCAGAAAATAGCATTTGAGTACAAAACGTACTACTATGGCGAGTGCTAGATGGCGAGAGCAGCTAGTAGTAATAGGTAAAAAGCTTTTTTGGAGGCCTGGGTCACTCTGTATATAGGTATGAATAAAACTAGTAGTCTAAGAATGATTTACTGTTCGTCCCATTCTAAAAAAAGGTAAACACACCGTACAAATAACTCTAGGAAGAGGTATTTGTACAGTGGTAAAAAATTGTCTAAACAAGGCCGAAGGGGCAGATATAATAAAGCAATAAAATGTAAAAAAGGTCGGGTACATCTTTTTTATTTGTTGAGCAAAATTCCTATAGAATATCGTATATAATGACCAGAAATGACACAATTTTGAGAAAAAAATGTCACTTTCTGGCTTATAATAAAATTTCAAATGCAACGTTTATATTCAAATTTGTTATGATCTACAACAGTTAGGTAGTCATTGAGACTAATTATAATTCAGTTACTGGCTACTACGTTCTTGTTTTAATAGATTAATTACAAATATAATTAGAAATTATTTTGATTGTGAGAGGCTCCCTTGTGGGACGCCTATGTACAATGACGAAAACAATACCCACCTGCGAAAAGACAAATTCGGGTAATTTGAGCTTATTTTTCCACACACTTGACACTGTCGTACCATACTGAATTCGCAGATTCAAAAGTACGTTAAACAAAAACAAAAACCACCGAAAAAACACTGAAAGTTCACTTTCGTCTTGATTCCGACTTCAAACACACCAAAAGGGCCGGCGCGAGGGGTAGTGGGACGGACGTCTCATTTCATTCTGGAAGACTAGCAGCGACGTTGCCAATAGTTCTAGACGTTTCAGCACACTAAACAGTAAACATGTCCTTTAATAGTAACGCATATATCCTCTGGTTAATAACATATTACAGCGCATGCTTCTTTAAAAATAAACTATTAATTTAATTAAGAAATTGAGATTTATTGATATCCGGTAAAGGTTTTAAAGTCACCTTTTCTGCAAATCAAACTGAGTAGATAGGCGCAAATTTGAGATGCGGCAAAGTCGCATTCTCTATCTCAGTTGGTTTTTACAGTACGTAGTCAACCTCCGATTGTTTGATCGGGTTAAAATGTCTAATGTGATATTTGTTCTTACTAAATCTATGGTTTTAACGGAAATATGATTTTTCAAAAATTACGAAATTTTAAAAAAATTGACAGTTAGGTTTTAAAACAGCTTCTCTTGAACCTTTTGTATCAGAACGTTTCGAAAATCTATCTATCTAGTGAACGTGTTTAATTTTTGTCATTGATTGCATATATTGACTAAGAATCCAAATATCTGGGGAACGGTTTCCCGCAAGCGATATTTACCTTAATTTTTTTAAGAAACATTTTTTGGCGTAAAATAAGGCGTAAATGTATATTTTTCTACTCGTTAGTATTGGTTAGGTTGAAAAATAACGAAAAGGAATATTTTTTCACTCAGTAGTTTTATACAGGTACGGACGAAAAGTTATGACCTACTCTTTAAAACAGTAATAAAATATGTAGGTGGTGCCCCCTACAAGTAGGAGTCATATTGACATCAAAATCAAGTTTCTCATGTCAAAAAACTCCCAGACACCAATTTTCATCCAAATATTCACGTTACTTCAGAAATTATTTGGAAAAAATGAAAATAAAAATGAAACTTTTCCACCCTGTATCTCCGAAACTAAGTATTTTAGGACATATATTTATACGATTTTTTACTTACTTTTATCAGCAGAATATGCTACCGAAGTTTTCGCAATACAGTTCGAACCAACCTGTATAATAAAGTGCGACCAAGATTGTTTTCTTTACATTTTTTAAATTTTCATTCATCATTTTGCTACTGTATCTAGAAAACAAAACGATATTTTGTAATAATCTTCCTTTCGTATCAGAATTTTCCTCACTTTTACAGTCGACCGACTCTGGTTAAGTGAGCAATAAAACTCTGGAGTGTGCATGTTAACCAAACGCCATACACACATCGCGATGTATGAAAGTTTGCAACTCCGTGCCGCGAACTATTTAGTCGATCGTCAAAGAGAGTCAAAGTTCGAGAAAGTTCAGGAGAGATTAGAGTACGTTAAGTCTTTTGGGTTAATTTTCTACATTTGACTAGGTAGAAGGTAGAAAAAAATCGCTAAGGAAGTTATTTTTTATACAAGACGATAAAATTGTATTTAATCGTCGATCGAAAAGATTAATTCGAGCGATGAAATCGCGAGTGAATTAATTTTGGGAGACGATAATGCAATTTTATCGTCGTGTATAAAAAAATATTTCTTTCCATAGCGAGTTACGTTTTAAAAAATATTCAGAAATTATTATTTCAAGGAATTTATTACGAGTAGAAAAAATATTGTGCTGGGTTGGCGTTGGTTTCTATGTAATTTGACAGATAAATAAAGCTGTCTCTTTAGTTGTCAGTTTTGAGTCAATATTTTTTAATTCTCTTTCGTGCCGATTGCTGATTGAATTGGAGCCAGAAATGGCTCAAAACGAAATAAGTAAATTACCAACAGATATTCAGGCTGAGGCGACAAACGCCATATCCAAACTACTTCCATTTAAATCCCGAATAACTTATGAAAAGGAATACCAAAATTTTCAAAAATGGAAGCAATTAGAAAACGTGCGAGAAGAAATAAAGTTTTTAACCTATCTTC